GATTCTTTTACAATCACGGTGGGATTTCAGACTGCTTAGAGACAGAAAGCATCTCGATATTGGCTATTTAGGTTGCCTTGGAAATCTTTTAATGGAAGATTTCACAGCGGCCTCAATGTGACATTTGAGTGAATGAGACAGAGGAGGAGAGAGTTTATGAGACTCTGAACGAGGCTGGGAGTGAAAGAAGTACTGTGAACTATTAGCAGCAAAACATACTTAAAGTCTCAAAAGCACTTGTTTTGCAAATAACAGCCCCTGTGGCTTATATATTATTAAATATGACATTATTGCATTGTGAATACTAATGCAATAATGTATTGGTAGCTTCTCACTGTTGTAGATTAGCTACTTAACATAGGCTACAGTTCAGTAATTTAGTCTAACCTAGGAGTCGGACCCTTCAAAAGGATCACAAGATAAATCTGAGGGGTCTTGAGATGATTAATGGGGTAGGGAAGAAAAAAAACTACACAAAATGTATTGTTTTCTGGACGTTTCTCTAATTTCTGCTAATTGTTCTGAAATATTTGACCGATTTATATCTTTTTGGGCCTTAAACAATTATTTAAAGGGGAACTCTACTGACTTTATACATATAGTTTTTTGTGGCTCCAGAGTGAGCTGTGTGAAATCATGGATGTATTAAGGAGAGTGAAAGCTGAAAAACTGCCTCAGGTGATGTCACTTGAGTCATTGTCTGCTGGGACCAAAGACAACAAGTTTAAAAAAAGAAGTGGGCTTCCTCTGAAGCAAAATTAGCTTCTGCTAACATAACACATCCAAATTTCAGACTCAATAATCGGTGGCCAAGTTGTATTGTGGGTAATATCAGCACCAGATTTTGAAAAGGAAGAATAAAAAAGATAATATCTCTGGTTCTGCTACATGGATTTTTATCTTTTTTTCCTTCAATGTTTGCAGCATTGCAGAAGCCACTACTAGACACTGTTTTTTAGGTTTAATCTTGGAAAAATGTGACACATTTTATAAGCTTATCATATGAAGAGCTGCAACAATTAGTTGATTCCTCTGGTTCCAGCTTCTTAAATGTGAGGATTTGCTGGTTTTCTGGGTCTTGGTATATGATATTGTGTTTTGGACAATTAAACGATTTAAACATGTTAACTTGGGCTTTTGGAAATTGTGATGGACTTTTTTATTGTTTTCTGACAATTTAAAACCAAACAAAGAAAACAATAAACAGACTGTTGATGAAAATAATCGTTAGTTGAGCAGAAGTATAAAGTTGCATAAAATGGAAATACTAAAGCAAAAAATTGTACTAAAGTACAGTACTTGAGTAAATGTACTCAGTTACTTTGCAGCCATGCACTGTTAACAACATTTCCAACCCCCCAGGGATGACTGTATCAACTGTGACGGTTGTGGAAAATCTGCTCTCCTGACATTGTGGGAAAAACTGTGTAAAGCGACTCGGTGGAATAAGAAGCAGCTTTGATCTGTGACAAAAAAAGCTGCAAAGACTGAAACTGCCAGGCTGTGCCGCTCATTAGGACTGTGATAGAGCTCATCGTAGTGCCTTCTCTCCAAGATAATCCAACTCACAGCTGCTAGGGTTTGAGACACTCGGAATACTTTAGCGACTTTGAGGGGGGGGATTTTTTTTTACAAGAAATGGGAACATAGTGTTTAGATTAGGCCTAACAGCTGGCCGATGGCTCTGCTAACCTCTATATCTAATCAATGCTTTGTTCAACTAGGAATTATTGGTTTCTATTTATTGCTAAAACTGGTGGTTAGTGGACGTTTGGGACACATGTTCACCCTGAATGGATATTTAGTCGCTGTGTGTTTCTGTATGCAAAAACAGAAGTGCACTCTCACATTCACTCTATGAATGTGATTGATATTGGTTATGACATTTAATTCCCATTTGAGAACAAGCAGTGTTTTACAGCAGGCATCTTTGAAGATGCACAGTATGATCCTGGGAGATTATTTATACACACAAATTCGATTTATATGCGAATTCTGACCCATAAATTATGCTCAAAATCTTTTTTTTATCAGTCATTATTTGTCATATGCTTCTCTGTGGAGGTGTTAATTGGTGTGATGGTGTGTCTCATTTACTCACAGAAATAAAATCTCTTGTTTTGGCTTATATTACAGCTCCTTCATTTACATACTTGTTCAGTTGCTCTTAATAACAATAGGCTTATTCTTTTTCAGTCCACCACACTCACCAGTTAATGTTGAGTCAAGGTCATTTGAATGACATGGCGACTGATACAATAGACAATATAATCAGTAATATGTTTTCTTCTTCCATTGTTGTTTATCATTTACACAAATCATCTTCCCTGAGCTTTAGCGAATTCAAATGTGTGTATGTTTGCAGATCACACAACAATGACAGCAACAGCAGATTAAAAAATTCAGGCACATGAATGTCAAAACACAATTTTACCCGTTCATCCCTGCTTGAGTCTAGCAGTTTGAGGCTACATTAGCCGCTACTAGCCTAACACACCCAAGTCTGCGACAGATTTCAGTTGCATTCTGGGTAATGTAGGCGCCAGGTTTTGACAAGGAAGAAGAATGTATAAACAAGATGACAATGTTTTATTTGTGCAATGCTAAATCAGTGGAGCACTCTTTTAAAGTGATTATCAAATAGGTGGAGAAGAACAAATCAGTGTTAAATACAAACAACACCAAAAGCCTGACAATATGCGCATAAATTGAAATCATTGTATTATTCAACATGTGGAAACAATCAAATTGAAAAGGTCAGGAATCAAACTACTGGAAATCAAAATACAAATTTATCTGAACAAAGACACCTCATGTTGCTGACCTTTCTAAAAAGGAGATAAAAATGGCAGGGATGGTTGGATAAATTGCAAGCTTCTTATCTAAAGATAAGAAGTTATATCTTATAGTGCAATTCATAGTCGTATAAGTTCTTGCAGTTCTATGGACAGATTGCATTAAAGAATGCAGCAAGAATTTGGAAAAACTTTAGTTTAAAAGGCCAACAAGCATTCAGGACAAACAGTTAATAGTGTGAGATCAACATAAAGTTAATATAAGGAATACAGGTTAAAACCATTACATATTACAAAGGATAAAAACAGATATATTATAATTAATTATAATAATCACTATGTGTGCAAAAGCGTAGGTGTTGAGTATGTGTGTACATGCGCATACAGTGTATGTATGGAAGAGGAATAGGGCCACATGTGAATTTTTTTTTTTGAGTTCTGAGATCAAACTGAGAATTCTGGGAAAAAGTCAGAATTCTGAACCCGCGTTCGAAACAGAAGGCAGTTGCCTCGCTGCCTCGACACTGTAATTGACAGCTGCCTCAGAAGGCATCACTTTCAAGTGAAGGCATCTCTGTTAACATTGGTTTCGAACAACCTTCTAGGGCAGCACTTATGGCGATTGACGTCAGCACGCCGTCTTGCGTCTCTTTTGGCTGTCAGAAGAGAGACGCTAGCCTTAGCATCAGCTAACTATCTATTGAAAAGTCAGATGGCTAGCAGAAATCATACTGAACAAACTTGGTTGGTTCCAGTCACGGGCTAATATGACAGTTCAGTGTTGAGGTCTCTATAACTTTTCAAAAATCGAAGCAAGAAAACTACTAAAAACGTTTAAAATGAATATTTGTGTACAGATTCATTGTTTATCCGCCATCTTGACCAGTTTTCAAAAGCTACGCCGACCACAGCCACACTAAAAGGCACCATCGATGCTGCCTTCAAAACTGGCGGTTACTGGGGCCGTTTGAAGGCATCTTACGTATCTTAAACTCAGAATTCTGACTTTAAACTCAGAACTCAAAAAAAAATCCACATGTGGCCCAAATCCTCTTTCATATGTTTGTGACTATGTGTGATTATGTTAAATGTTTTCAATGCGATTTTAATATAAACTCTTGTGAGACTCTTTAGACATTCAGAATTTCTAAAATAAAATCTGAACTACAGCCCTGTTATATAGATCCAATCTATCTGGGGTGGGTGGTTAATGTTGACATTTACTGTCATTTCCCCTTGTGTACTGAAATAGTTGACTGCACCAGTTATTTGAAAATATCAATTTGGAAGGAAATCAAGATCTGTACACATGCAGAGAGGATACTCTGCTTCAGAGATGATGATGGAAATTTGACAAAAGACAATTAAAAAGGCAGAAAGAAGCAGCATGTCCCTTTGATTTTCCTTTCTCATTTACTTCACATGTGTTTTTCTTTTTAGTTAATGTGCATTGCGGGTATGAAGATGTTACAGAGACCCTTTCTGTTTTCTTTAAGAGGAAGAGATTAATTAGTATACTTCCAATTTATGCTTCTAGTCCACAGGCAAGTACAATGTAAACTACAAACACTGAGGACTTCTTGAGTTGAGTGTTTGTTAACCTTTTATACTGAGTTGAGGTTAGCCTACAAAAACTCTTTGGCTGAAATATGACAAAACTCTGGATGTACTTTGGAATAAGTTATATCAAAAGGATTGAACTATATGAATATTGAAACTTTGGACCAAAAAACATAGCCTACATAAAATGATGCATATTTGAATATCCTCATTTATACTTTTGTTCATTGAAGGGGGAAATTATGCATAGGTTATACATTGTCACCTGGTTCTAATGAATGGATAACTTCAAAGTTCAGCTCTGATTTCAGTTATTTCTGTTTCAGTAAAACATCCAGAACAAAAGAAAATGCTTCTATCTTCTCATTATTTAATTCTTTGAGCATGAGTGCACAGAGCATTTCTCACTGTATCAATCTGAGGTCTGATATTCCCCCCAAGGCTGTTGATACTCCACATGATAAATGTTTTATGGGAGCTTTACAGAAATGCTTTAAAATGGGGTTTCACATGACAAAATCTACTGAATTGTATGATGGTATTTGAACCCCATAATCTTAATGGAACTCCCCTGGTACAACACTTTGACAGCCACTGAACTGTTTTATAAACTCCCACCTGTAGTCAGACAGCAGAGTCCCCTACCTGCAGCCAGCTGCATCCAGCCGCAGATCTTGTACACGGTGCCGGTGCTGCAGAAGAAGAAGAGCGCGAAGCAGCCGATGCAGGTGAGGACCAGAACCATGGACATGCCGATAAAGAAAGAGGCAGCCTTGAACGCACCGGAGGGGATGGCGCTGAACTCGGTGAAGCTTCCTTGACAGGTCAAGTCCCGGGACAGCCCGTTCCCGATGCAGTAGTGAAACAGACCGAAGTAGCCCACCTGCGGGGTGTCCACGCCGTCTCCGATCCAGTACGGCTGGATGAAGCACACCACGTTGACGATGGCGAAGAGGATGGTGAAGATGGCCCATAGGACGCCGATGGCGCGGGAGTTGCGCACGTAATTGGTCTGGTAGATTTTGGCAGCCTCAGAGGCGGGGAGCATGGTGGTGGTCGTGCTGGGGGCCCCGGGGACCATCCTCCGATCTGTGGTGTGCTCGGTCCTCAGGATCAATTAACCTGTCCTCAGTAAAATAACATCTGCCGAATCTGATCCGTAATCACAGTGTGCTGGAGAACTTATTCTTGTAGCTGTTTTCGGGTTTTATTTATAGGCTTTATTATATAGGCTATTTATATTTATTTTGTCTGACTTTATTCAGTCACAGGTGTAGCATCACTGCACTCTCGCATCCATGGTAATGCCGGATTTTGTTTTATTCTTGTGTTCTCCTCAGATTTTCATTCATTTCACTGCAAAAACGAAACATGCGCTCCGTGGAAAAAAAGCTTCAGGACTACATCCTCCATTCAGAAGCCCGCGGATTTATCCTACATCTGTCCTCATATTTATATTAAAAATGCCCCTACCTGAGTCGTGTCTAACGCCTGAGACTGTTATTCCGACAAACCGGTTCGGCTCTGTGATTCCTTGAAATGGTCCGTCTGTGCTCGACGCCGACAGACCAACAAACAACCGCAGCTGAGATCCTATTGAAACAGAGTTGGAGGATATTACAGGGCCAACCCACATCCCTTAATCCCAGTCTGACGTATTATTCCAGTAACACGCGCGAAACCTTAAACAGACACAATATTATAAAAAAACAACAACATAGCTAATAGTCCTCTATTGAATGCTGCAATAACTAATACCCTGAACGGAGTATGGACTTAATGAGATTTAATGCACCTACAGTGCTATTATAAACTGTTATGAGACAAATGCATAAGTATTGGATACTACACACCCAAATACACTAATTCAATCACAATAATAGCTAACAATAATAAAAAAGCCTACATTGTTGCTTTTCCTGCAAAATGTAATAGGCTATTGGCTATTTTAGTACCTATTCGTGAGACCTGTATTAAGACCTATAGGCTATTCTCCAGTTTTCTGTGCGCAAAAAGTAGGCTAAAGCAACACAAATAGGCTACAACATGTAAAAACGATCCCATCACAAAGTCAATCCGGCATCTTTTGGGGCATTTCACACTGTCTTCCCCCGCAGAGGCCTAGTTGCCATGGAATAATACGATAATAACACATCTTGACATGTAGAATATAAAAAAGCATGTAAATACAACAGGCGAAGCATTAATAAATTACTTTTAATTAATGACTTCCCTTTCCTTCAAATTCGCGTTTTTAGAGCAGAAAAACTACATTACCCATGATTCTGTGTGATTTGTGATTGGATAGTACCCGAAGCCCGTCATTTGACGTAATCTGAAGGCGCGCGCGAAACTCTGTGAGTTCCCTAGCTTGTATGTTTTTGTTTCCAACTTTTACTTACATTTTCACCGCATTTCAAGTTTGATAAAAATATAATTTTTAGTGTGAATATTTCCACAGTACCGTGTTGTGTTCACAGTAAATAGTTTCTTGCAGTGCTCCTGGTTTTGCTCGCATTTGGAGGTCGCTCCTCTCAAGTCCAGTCTTGGAAATGTGCTGTAACTGAATGTTAAGCTAACGTTAACCTTGCTTGTTTATAGCCGCATGTGACTAACCTCTTCACGGTGTAACATACCCGGTGTTGTGCTTGGTAGTACGAAGATGACAGCGCTGTTACAGCATCCAGGATATGAGGAGGAGAGGCTGCAGAGGGTCGCAGAGCAGCTGCCCTGCAGAGAGGTCCAGGCGGGGATGCTACTGTCGCTCATGGGGCAGGTAGGCTATTTATGTTAGGCTGGTGCAATGATGCTGATGGTGCTTTCAGTTGCATGAACTAAAGGTGTGTCTCCTGTTCAAGTACAATATACTTAGTAGCGCTCTTTTGCTCTGCACTCCTAGGCAGCAAACTTACTATCTTTGGGTAACTTACAGCGTTTTAATAGTAGTATTAATAATAATAGTTTTTTTGTATAGCACCTTTCATACAGCTCATAGTGCATTTCATCAAATTGTGTATAAACCATTTGGACGAAGAGCTGGCAAGCAATCATTTATTTCCGGTAAATCCCAGGGTAGGGTAATACAAATAAAATAAAATAAACATTTACTAAGTCTCAGTAAAAGCAAGGCTTCGCTAAGAAGGTGTTAAAATGTAATACACAATGTAATGCAGCTAATTAAATGTGAGGTTTACTTTTTTGAAACATTTATTTATTAACAATGATTCCTTTTGAAATAAACTATTCAAAATGTTAATCAGTTATGTCTGTCCGTTTTGGATAAGAGTCTCAGTTAACAAATAAATATTTTTGTTTAATTTTTTGGCTTTAATAAGCGCTAGAAATCATCTCAAGATGAACAGTTACAGCCTAATGGAAATGTTTAACTTAAATTAACTAATTAATTTGTCAAGAAAATTGAGTGACTGTTTCACAGCTAAAAATGTCTCCATTCAAGGATGTTAGCATTATAGTTTATCACCTACAACAGTATTGGATTTAATTTGATCATAAAAGCCAGGTTGATGTTAGCAACACGGTAACAAAAGCCGATAGAGGTATAACTTGTTTGTTTAGATTGTTATAGATCATAAAGAAATGTCATAATCATACTAAGTGTCGTGGAAATCTGTTTCCTGGTGAGAGGTTGAGCAAATAATTGAGTTACAACAAACCGTTGTCTTTTAAGAATTTATTTAACAAAAGAGAATAAACAGAGAAGTACTACAACACAAATCAGCTGGACCAGAGGTTCTGTCTCCTAAGACAGTCACTAACGTCTGGCCCAGAGCAAAGGGCTGCATGATCATTTACACAGTCTGGGTTTCTATGTTTTGGGGAACAAAAGATCCTCTACCTGCTTTGACTGGTCCCAGCCAAAACAGGAGAGGAACAGAAAACAACTCCACATTCCTGACCTAAACCCTACACATGTGGACAGACTAGAATGATGAGAATAATAATAAAAGGAACAGGTTAAAGATTAAAACAATGTATAAGACATAATAATAATAATAATAATAATAATAGGAAAATAGCACTATTATAAGTACTTGCATAAAAAATTATGAGTATAAGAAGAAAACAATTTTCTGCTGTCACACTAAGCAAAGGTCCTGAATTTTGTTCTTACAGCCACAGCAGTACAGCTATCCCTCGATCTTCATCTATGGTCATCGAGCTTCAGGGAAGAGTCATGTGATGCAAGTTTTGCTGAAGGAACTTGAGGTGAGAGAGAGAGACATTTGCTGCTGAAGTTCGGTGTCCCTGAATGGTATTCGTTTATGCAGATGTAGGGGTTAGGGGTTATCAAAATGACCCCACCCCCCACACTGCAGACAGACTACAAAAGTTTGTTACAGGACAAACCATTAATCAGGTTTGTGCCAGTGTCTGCTTAGCAGGAAAGAGTTTTTCTCACTGACTACTTTAAGCTTATATAAAACTTAAACAGATTCTGGCACGTCATTCATACAGAGCTCCCTTCAAAGACATTTCCAAGGACTAAGCACTCCTTAGTCAGCTTGATTGCATCAGTAAATGTTGATGTATTTCAGAGAAATATAATTTCTCAGTGCTCACAAAGCTTTGTGCGCAGTTTCAAATTCCCTTCTTGGTTTAACATGTATGGATAGAATTACAAGGTGTCTGAGTTAGAAAAAACTTACCTATCTTTCTGCACACATTTTGTATGAATTAAAAAAATATCAGAGCTTTCCACATAGTAAATGATCCTTCCTATGCTTTGAGCTTTTACCCTCAGGGAGTCGTTATAGACAAGACAATATGGCATATAAATGGATGTTTGGCATTTCTGCATGAAAAATGGTCAAAATTGTTGCCATTTAATGTGTTTTTCAAGTGACTTATTGTTGCAGCTCTATAACTTAACTCATATTTGGTGTTCATTTAACATCCAATTGCTTTTATTATGTAACACTAAGTTGCAGCAGTGGAGAGCTGCGACAGGCAAAAGAGAGAACGTGTAACAATGTAAAGATGTGTACCGTCACAGATGTCAAACTGATTGTCTTTCTTCCTCCTCCTCCTCTGCAGCTGCCTCACACCACAGTCAGTTGTGTCGAGTGTGTCTCTGTTGCGTTGCTGTTTGAACAAGTGCTGCTGTCCTTCTTTGGCTGCGATGCTGCCTCGCTGCTCCCCCGCAGTCCCTCCCTGTCTGACTTTGTACGCATCTACAGACAGCAGTGCTCCCAGTCTCCTGCCAAGCAGACGCGATACATTGTGAGTGCCGTGCACTTTACGCCCAACCGGAAAATCACTCTTTACTTGGCACAGCAAAATACTATAATCTGATAGCATGTCAAATTATTTATTGTTACGATGTGTCACTTAAATGTTTGTATGATAAAATGATTAGTAGTGATAACATATGTAAATACCTTAGAACAAAGCCCCAGATGCATTAGCCTGAAGAAAATAAGGGTGCTTTTTCAGCCAGCACAGGAACAGGTTTAATCTAGTATTTTGGCTTCATAATTGTTTTATATTTGAAATTGAGCCTGCAGCATATAAAGCTGGAATTTGTTGTGTTAAAACATCCGTTCACAACCTGAAGTTTATTGAATATGGATGTTATATTTATATATAACAAAATAAGCTCACGTGTATTTTTCAGGTAATGGAAAAAGCCGAGCTTCTGAGAGACACTGATGCCAATCTCCTCCCTGCTCTCCTGCGTCTTCAGGAATTGGTGAGAAAGTGCAGAAAGCTTTTTGTGTTATCCACAAGTGTGAACCTCTGGGTCTAAAAAGGGAAGCTGATGCGAAAGTGCCTTAAGCCTGCGTTCTTTTGAATAGCCAACAGGGGGCGACACCACTGGTTGCAAAAATAAGTCCAATTGTATATGAAAATAACCCTACTTTTTACTTTTTTCAGGGGAGAGTTGGGGGGCTTTTTAGCCTTTAATTGGATATAAAAGTCAAGGACAGATAGGAAATTCAGGAGACAGAGAGAGAGGACAAGTTTCTACAATGGCGGCCTGTCAGGTGTAGCAATGCGTATCCCTCCCCGGCTCCACCCTTGCATCTAAATAACTTATAAATCACTTCTGGTTCCAAAATAAAATGCCAACGGCCAATGTGCCAAACTCAAAGCTTCAAAACGGTAGGTCCCATGCATCCACTTCTTATATACACTCTATAGATATCCATCAAACGAGCCGCTTTATTGTTGTTGTTCTGTGTGGATGATGAAGAGGTACAGAACGAGCTGCTTTTCTACTGAGGGACCTTGAGCTGAGTGTGTGGAGCTCTTCCATAATGTTGTTTAGAAGGAAGGATGGCAGCGACACTCAGCATTTTAATAAAAGGCAAAGACGTCTGTGAATATTTGTGTTTTATTCCTGTGACAGCTAATTGTTTTCTGGTGGATTGTGAGTGTTAAGAGGAGTCTGTCTGTTCTAGGGCTGAAACATGTCATGGATTAAATCGATTACTAAAATGCATGTACGCAAATTCTTTGCATGATGCTTCGTTTAATACATACAACTATATAGCACACTGTTTTGCAGGGACATTTATAACTGTCGCTTAAGCTGTGAACACGAGGTGATTATGGGGGCGCTGTTTACAAAGTGGAGGA